TAATTTGATTTGTAAAATAAGAATGAGAGAAATTAATGAAGTGTTTTATAACACAGAAGTCAGGAGGCCACCATTTATTTGCTTTTCAAGAGCCTATACAAGATACAAGAAGCAACACTTTCCAACAAAAGCCCAACCCGTATTGTCATACATTCGATAACATTCACCTCTTGAATTCTGCATAAGGCATATCATATGTGTATCTCTCCCGCACATGATTCATTTCATCATGTGTGCCCGCGCGCAAATCTTCAGTTTCTCTTTGCAATCTTCTCCCATCGGCCATCGCCAATTTGTGAACCAAAATTGTATGACTATGTGTTGTCGTTTTGATATGTTGTTTCTTATGACTGTGTTGCTAAAGTTGTTGTGTTGCAAACGTGGGTATTTTATTCTTATGCGCAGGTACCTGTTTACCCTATCAGGTGGCGGGTATGGAAAAATTGTACTGGCTGGTGCGGGTATTGGTACGAGTGATGGGTAAGCCCAAGAGTACCGATTAGGGTATGGTATGGCTCTGCCCGTTCCCAAAACCGTCGGGTGCCTTCCCTAATCTGGATCGTATAGTAGCTGGTGTTTTGTATGTAATTAAATGTTAGTATGTAGGATTAATCATGTCCATTATAACTGTACATTTATAAGTCATCTAGATGATCCCCAGTTTGTATGTCAGGCGGTCTTGTCGTGTGTATCATTGTATGTGATTTTAAACCAATATTTGAGATTAAGGGCAAGGTGTGGTAGCTCCCGGGTGTCCCTGCACCTTCATGAAAAGTAAATTAAAAAATAGAAAACAAAATGAAAAAAGTCTGAAATTTTGTGACATCAAGTATGCTCAAACGTTTTCGGTGGTTGCAAATTTTCGCAGAGAAATATCATATACATAAAGGTGTACACATGACAAACAAAAACCATTGCTCAAAAGTGCTCAAAACTTTGAGCAATGAAATCTTTTTCTTGTGTAGAGCTCCACGAATGTTTTTCCGTATGAAATCTTCGAGCAGCTACAAAGTTTGAGCATATTTGATATTCATTAATTTCAAAAAAATGTTTCCTATTAATGTGAAACACTTTTTTGAGATAAATGTGACGATACTCAGTTCCGAACCTTGGCCATCATAAGGGCCCATTTATCCGTTACGGCCATCATAAGGGCCCATTTATCTGTTATGACCCATTTATCTCCCTGGCCTGCAAGTCCATTAGTAAATGAAGTATAGAATTAGTGAATTCACATTATAGGTACAAAAATAGTCAATTCCCATTATAAGCAAGCACTCGGTACCTTGAGGGTATAATCATCAAATGGGCATCCATCTTCCTAAGGTTACCAAAATAGTTTCAGTAGATCATCTCGAGTCTATATATATATATAAAGCACTGATACAAAGTATACATAATAATCGTAAAAATAAGTACAAAATTATTGAATTCCCATTCTAAGCAAACATTTACTACCTTACGAAGATAATCTTTATAGATATATCCATCTCATCTTATTATAGGAGAAGTAATATATTTCTTATGGATAATCATCCCACTAATCATGTCATAATTTGTCATCAGAATAGTTTTAGACGAGACCCTCGATCTCTATATATTTTCCCAATGCAGGTTATGACGAGGCACATACACATCACGTCACAACAGCAAGCTAGCCATGGCTATGCACAAGAGCGTCACACCGGTGCTCCTCGTCGTCCTATCATTGCTGCTACTCTCCTCCGCCGCGTGCGCACGCAAGACTCCTACAGGCCCGAACCCCATACATAATGAATTCCCACCGCCCGATGCGCCATTGCCGCCGCTGAAGCCACATCCGCCGCCTGGCCATAACCGGACACCAGCGAGAACGAGCGCACATGTCTCAGCGGTGCCAAGGCTGATTCCTCCTACAGGCCCGAACCCTAGATGACGACCACCCGCCACAGCGGCCTTCTTCATAGGCGTGATGGTTCCCTTTCCCCGTCATTATGTGGATACTATGATCATGTAAACATTTTGGCTACTTGCCCCGCACTGCAAGTGCATACATGTGTAACGGATCGAGCTTAAGGCTCTCCATTGATTTCATCGTGGCTGCCCGAGTAATAAAGCAATAACATTAACATGGATGGTTTGTGTTCGATAATTTTTTTGATGCATCCTTTTTTACTACCCAACACATACATTTCTATATAGAGATGCTCGGTGTTGGTGTCTAATGTTTAGAGTAGCGTGCTCAGGATGGAGGGGTGATGTTTCGAGGTTCCATAACGGCGATATGCATGGAGCAGCAAGGGTGCATCACCACTCACTAGAGAGGCCGACCGATTGTGGTGCAACAACTTGGAGCTTTTTTTAGGGATAAAAAGGCGCTTTATTAAGTATCAAATGACATAGAAATACAAATAAAGCCTGGGGTTCCCGTGAGCCAAAGATGGCGTCAGCACTCCGCGGGCTAAAGAAGTAACAACTTGCAGTTGGGAGAGGCGTGGTACCATGCAACTCGGTTTTTTGATGGCCTCCTAGATTTAGATGGGGTACGGTGGTGTACGGGTGCCCGGTTGTGCTCATCTTGCGAGTCTTGCTTGGTGGAGTCCGTGAAAGCCTTGGTCAGGTTTGCCTGGCTCCAACCATGTCCATGGTGAAGACTGGGAGGCTGCAAGCATGTCCATGCCCGCGGTATTCCTCCTTGGAGACGGTATTGAGGTCCCTTTCTCCTTCCCTAGTTCCCCGGTAAAAACCTTGGACACTAGGTGATGACGGCGCATGTCTTGTGCTTTGGTGTGGTTAGCTGATAGGCAGCGAGAGGGAGCCAGGGGCAGCCTTGAAAGTGTTGTCATGCTGAGTTTCAGGGCATGTCACAAGGAATGTGCAGCTAGCCATTGTTCAAACTGATTTCTCTGCCTTAGTTTCCCTGTGGCATGATAGTAGGGATATTCGGCTAGAAGGGATCCACATTCTGAATGAACTAAAGGTTTCGAGCCGATCTTTTTAGTGTTTCAAGCTTCTTAAATTTTAACTTTCCTATTGCGATGTAAATTCTGCTACACACATGCATGTATGGCAAATAATTTCTTATTAGCAAATGTTTGTTCTATGGTGTAACTCCTGAATTCCTGATTTGCGTTATTGAATCAAAGTTTAATACCGACATTTAGTAAGTGTGGACCTTTTGTTACTTCAACTGCTCTATGAGCATTGGCACATGGTCCCTCCATCCAGAAATACTTATCGGAGAAATATTATTTTAGTTCTAAATACATCAATTTTTTTGGAGAAATTGATGTATATAGACATATTTTGATTATTAATTTTTATCCATTTCTCTAACAAGTATTTTGGGACGGAGGGCCATTTGTCATGACTTCATTTTTCCGGAGATCATGCAACCAACTTCTACTAATAAATACAGAGGTATATTTTGATTCGTAAGATGGAAAGAGTAGCCCTAGATTGTTCATAGAAATGATATTACATTATACACTAGAGACCGTGCTAATATCTAAATCATACTCATGAGATGATATGTGCAGCATAAAAGGAAGTTGCTTTAGAAATTATTAATTGGAAAAGGACAGTTGAATTCATTAAAAACCGTCCTATTTTACAAGGCAAGATTTGTTTGTTCTAAGTCAAACTTCTGTAAATTTGATCAAATTTTTGGAGGAAAAATATCTACATGATATCCTCATTGGCTGATTTAATCTAGCCCATAAGTTCCACGGTTGTGGTACCTCTGATATTTGTTCTGCGACAAATATTATGTAAGTATTTTCTCAGAGATCGTGCAACCAACTTATACTAATAAATACAGATGTATATTTTGATTCGTAAGATGGAAATAGTAGCCCTAGATTGTTCATAGAAATGATATTACATTATACACTAGAGGCCGTGCCAATATCTAAATCATACTCATGAGATGATATGTGCAGCATAAAAGGAAGTTGCTTCACAAATTATTAACTGGAAAAGGATAGTTGAATTCATTAAAAACCGTCCTATTTTACAAGGCAAGGTTTGTTTGTTCTAAGTCAAACTTCTGTAAATTTGATCGAATTTATGGAGGAAAATATAAACATGATATCCTCGCTGGCCGATTTAATCTAAGCCCATAAGTTCCACGGTTGTGGTACCTCTGGTATATGTTCCGCGACAAGTATTATGTAAGTATTTTCTCGATTGAGCTTCCCTATCAATTTTTCAAATGACCCTTGGTTCACTTCAGATCTCATACATGCCATGGCTACTCGTTGGCAATCCGAGCTAATTGGTGTTTATATACTGATCCGTACTCATGGCATGTAGATGAAACCAAACAAGAGGCGCAAAACTATATTCTCTCTGTTACAACATTTCTTTTGTTAATGCCAATATGTTAGTTAGTTTATGCGATTTTAATTTGCATTTCATCACTTTGTAAGAATTTACAAAAACTCCTATAGTTTTTTTGAAAAACGGACAGGCGTGACAACATGCACCATCATGGTGCAGTATATCATAGACCATGCCAATATCCAAGTCACACTCTTGAAATGATATGTGGAGCATGGAAGGAGAGTTGCTTCAAAAATCATTAACTGGAACAGAGCAATTGAATACATTAAAAACGTCCTATTTTATCTTACCAAAGTAATTATCTTGTATGCCCAATTTTACCGATCAATCAATGGACGCTAAAATTAGAAACATCATCTTCTTTCTCTCAAGGTGTTAGGTGCAAAAAGCAGAAAAACAAATGAGGGTAAACTGGTCGCAATTCTACGCTTTCATACCGCGAACACGTACTGCTTCTCCGTAACCGCCTTCATTTTGAGAAGACGCTAGCCAAGCCATCGCGAGGCCCCGCTTGTCAGTCAGCAGCCAGTGGCCCCTTCGTTGTCCCCCTCCGGCAAGTCGAATCGCGTGACCCCCAACTCCGTCGACGGCTCGATCGATCTCGGCAAACCGCCCCCCTCCCCGTCTCCGGCGACACAGCAGCGGATCGCGCCGGCAGCGAAGGCGCGGGGGGAGCGATGGACGCGGAGCTCCTGGAGCTGCAGCGGCAGCTGGAGGCGGCGCAGAGCGCGCGGTCGAGCGTGCGGCTGTCGGAGCGCAACGTGGTGGAGCTCGTGCAGAAGCTGCAGGAGCGCGGCCTCATCGACTTCGAGCTCCTCCACACCGTCTCCGGCAAGGAGTACATCACATCCGTAAGCCCCGTCTCCCCCCCTCCCCGTACACACACGCATCCCATTCTCTCTAGTACTAGTCCCCAGTCCCCTCTCGGTCTGTCGGGAACCAGATTCGTTTCTGTGCGGGGGGAGGGGTTGAACTAGACTCACTCCAGTGTGATGGAGCGTGGAGAACTTACCCTGGATTTGATTATCGGCGTTGAAATTACGGGTGCTATCAAAATCTAAACCCTGGAATTCTAGTGCAGAGAGGTGAATTTCATCTTCGTGTATGTAGTAGGTTATCACTTCTGAAGGATGGTTTAAATTTAGAGTATTGATGACAAATTGATATACTGTCACAGCAGCTAGTGGTATTTCTGTGAAGTAAATTAGTGATGGGTTTAGATTCAGTAGTACATCTGTTTCCAGTCCCTTTTGCAATCTTGTAGAGTTGCTCAAGTGTTCAGCAAAGGAAATTGTTCTGTTCTTCCTGGCAATTTGCCATAGATACAGCCAGACAGATGAGAGATTTTGATTTAATTGCGTGTTTGAATAGCTCGGGCTTAATAAAGTTCTGGAGGAGCTTTGTCTAGAAATTCCTCTGGTATATTGCTATAAATTGCTGTGATAATGTCTGTCTGCCTTAGTTGTGTTTAACACACTTGCGCAACCAAGAATGGGCAGATTTTAGCTGATCCTTCATCCATGGCGATCTGTGGTGTGGCAGGACCATTTGAAGCATGAGATTAAGGTGGAGATCAAGAAGCGAGGGCGTGCATCACTAGTCGATTTATCAGATACCCTGGGGGTGGATCTTTACCATATTGAGAGGCAGGCACAAAAGGTCGTCACGGAGGATCCGGCCCTGATGTTGATCAACGCGGAGATCATGTCACAGTCTTACTGGGACACTGTGACAGAAGAGATAAATGAGAAGTTGCAAGAGCGCAGCCAGATTGCCTTGGCTGAGATTGCTGCACAGTTACACATTGGCTCAGAGCTGGTCCTCAATATTCTCGAGCCTCGGCTTGGAACTATTGTAAGCCTGCTGTGCTATCTCATGTTTTGAATGGTCTTTTCCTTTGCTGCTTTCGTTCAACCAAAAAGGTACTATTTCTATAAATCCTTCCAGGTGCATGGAAGGCTAGAAGGTGGCCAGCTATACACTCCAGCATACGTCTCCCGAATTACTGCCATGGTCCGTGGTGCGACAAGGGGTTTAACAGTTCCGACAAACTTGCCATCTGTCTGGAACTCCTTGCAGCAACAGCTCCAAGAAATGCACGGTGCTAATGGAGTTTCAGTGGAAGGTTCATTCTTCCAGTCCATTTTTGTTGCCTTGCTAAAAGAAGGTGCTGTACTTGGGTCTGTCCGTGCCGGAGTACATTGGACACCAGCTGTAAGTTCTGCTTTTCAATTCATATATCTAATTCGTAAACTATGTTTTAATGTTGTGCTTTTCTTTCTTTGCTAGGTATTTGCTCATGCTCAAAAGGAAAGCGTTGATGCATTTTTTTCACAGGTTGAGGCATCTCTAGCTTACACTTTAATTCCTATTATTTAACATGTTATTACAACTAAATAATTTCGAGCTGGTAGCATGAGTAGGCTTCACAGAAACACACGTGTATTAATCTAGACAAGATCTCAACTGCTTCATGTGCACACCTTTGTATGACTACTGATCTAGTTCTTCCACATAATCCCACACAGTTTTACTCCCATATAAAATCATACGAAAATCTCTTGGTCTGGTATTTAGCAATCGGCATTGATAAGCAATTGTGTTCGGATCACATACTTTGCATTATTGTTATGCCTTATATCCTTCCATTTGTTTGACTTTTCATTTTCTGTACAGAACTCTTATATTGGGTACGAAGTACTTCAGAAACTCGCAATTCCCCAGCCTAAACAGTACTTAGAGGTACACTTGAAGCTGTCAATATTCCTTCACTGTTCAAAATGCAACACCTGTTTGTTTGTATTGACTATCTTATTATCTTCTACAGGCCAGATATCCAGATGGCATTGCACTGGAGGCTGTTTTTGTACATCCTTCTGTTGTCGATATGCTAGATGCTGCTGTGGGTGACGCAATCGAGAATGGACAATGGTATTGTTAAATGTCATGTCTGGTTTCAAGGTTTCGTTGCTATTTGTCACCGTTATATGCTATGATGTCCTAAGTTGGCATGCATTCTGAAAAATGAGCCTTCCAGTTCTGTTTGATAGTCCCTGTACGCATGGTGTGGAACAAATAAAACTGGTTTGTCATGTGGGGAATTCCCTACCAGTGTCAACATGGGACCGGGGCCTCTGTAGCTGGTTTACAAGCCAAGGGTGGTGCATCTAAGCAGGCAGCATCCTATTCCATGCCCGTTAAGTTAGGACTTTAGGTTAGAGATAAAGTTAGGGGAAAAGACTAGGTTGGTTGGATCCCACTTTGAGCTGTAACTCATCCGTTTGAAGGATGGAATTATCAATAAGGCGCAAACAAGTCAACATTTTCTATTGCTTCCCCTGCACTCCCTTTTCTCCACGCCATTACAGCACCAGGATAACAAGGTTCAGGGCCTAGACCACCCATCACACACACTTCATCCTGTTATGGCATGTGACAGGTGTATGACTTATGAGTTATGACCTACATCAGAGTAGAGCAAAGGGAGTAAACCGACCAAGCGATAGCAAGATATATGAATTGATTAATTAGTTACATCAGTTCATTGAAGTAGTTGAGACTTCACAGGGTGTCTCAACATTTTGTGCAGCTTTGCGCCTTTCCTATTGACTGTTAGTAATCCCTTTTTCTGCCAAGCTAAGCACCTCTCAAGTTTTCATTGCTACAAGATACCCTTTATTTTTTCAGGATTGATTCTCTTTCGATCCTTCCATCATATATCAGTGGCCCTGATGCAACCAAGATATTGTCTCTTTGTCCATCTTTTCAGAAGGCAGCCAAGGTTGGCATATTTAAAGTAATAGAAATTTGTGTACTTTTCATAAATGGCCACACATTAAAAAAATCTTTCTTTGCAGTCTTCAAAAGCAGTGCTATTTGGAGAATCATGTGTCTTCAGCAATGTGTTCATTAAGGTGAATTGTTAGAATCTGCTTGTTGAACCTGTGTTAATCTGCAGTTATGTATGCACTATCCCATTATACCTCTCAAACGAGTGCAATTTGTCTGTTCTTCGGTCCATTTCAGGGTATTTTTGATCAACTTGAGAAAGAGATCGACTCCTTTGGTATTAAACATAGTGCTGGTCAAGGAACGCCCGTGAATATGAATTCAAGTAGCGAGCATAGGGCAGGATCTGTCCAGTACTCAGACACAAAAGACTTTGGTGATAACGACGCCAGCAGTACAGGTGCTTCATCAGACAGAGGACCAAAGAAGAAACGTGGAAAAGCTACGGGGTCTGCCAAAGGCGGAGCAGTTGAGAAGGATGATGATGAAGAAATCATCCCTGTAAAGGGCAAGAAAGCTCATAGGAAAAACAAGGACACTGGTTCTTCAGGTGATGCGAAGCGCGGTGGTAAAAAGGCACCAGAGAAACCAAAAGAGGAGAACACAAATATCTTCCCCGATGAGTTGATAGAGCAAAAGGTTTTGGCTGTTGCTCCAGAGTTAGAAGAGTTGGGAGGTCAGGAAACTAGATAAGATTAACCTTGTTGTTTCTATTCAGTTGAAATTGTGCTTCTACAAATTTCCTAACTTTTGAAACCAACATTAGGCTCAGACGACTTAAATGGCCCAATTAAATTATTGTCCTCTCACCTGAGGCCAATGCTTATTGATGCATGGAAGAAGAAAAGGAACACCATGCTGTCAGAAAACGCTGAAAGGAGGCGAAGTGTACTTGATAATCTGCAAAAGCAGCTAGATGAGGTAATCTGCTTTTGCATCCCATTTTCTTTGTGCTTCCTTTCTGTACTATAGTTTCTGGATAGCCTTGAAATTGTTCGACATTGCTACTGTATTTTAAATTGCTTTCCTGCATTTCTCTTCTGGTGCTAGATCATCTAACTTTTTTCAATATTATTCTTTGCCATCGTCAGGCTGTCCTTGATATGCAACTCTATGAAAAAGCTCTAGATGTGTTTGAGGATGATCCTGCTACCTCTGTAAGCTACTATAGCCTATGTGCATTGTTCTCACAAGATCGCTTGCTACTCAATACATTAGCAGCAGCCTTTACTTACCGTCCTTTCTTTACCTGTTTTCTTGTTTGCAGGGCATATTACACAAGCATCTGCTAAGAACTATGGGTACTCCAATAGTCAACAAGATTTTATCTAGTCTGGTAACTTCTATAAGCTCACACAGTATGGTTGCCTGCAATATTATATTTCATAAATAATTTCTGTGATGTATCCATTTTGGCTTTAATTTTACAGTTGCAACAGAACCCTTAAAATAACATGCGTCCCTGATTGTGTTACTTCCCTACTAGCGACCTTTCTTGTGTGATGAACTAAGAAACTGGGACTAGCTTATAGCTCCTATTTCAAATCTGAATCGTTTAAAAGGTTTTGTAACCTACTTCTCTGACTAGTACATGTACTTTACACTGAACAACCAATAGGATAGGGACAACAAATTGAAGAATGGAATGGAGTATGAAGACAGTGAAGAACAGCATGCTCAGCTGAGCACTACTGACCGCACTTTTCTGGTACAATTCACTTGTTTCATTTTTCCATATATTATTTAATGTTTTCCTGTGTCAATCCTGAATGAAGATATCATTTGGTTTAACCTCATGGGTTTGCTTTCTATTAAAAAACATCAGGCAAAGGATCTTCCTGGGCAATTGTCATCGAAGGCTCAAGCTTTAGTTGAAGCACTGGAGGGAAAGGTTTGTCTGTAACCAAGAAATACTGTTTGATGAATTGATTGAAGACTTGAACTCCTTTATTCTGTATTTTTCTTGTTCTAAATCTAGTATGCATAGCAGCTTAAATTCTGATAATATGCTAGCACATGCAGTTAACAATCTAACATACCACAAAACTATGTCTGGGTCTCTTGGGTAGAGCAGACGTTTAGATGCTTAACATGATAAAATACTCAACAATTTTGAGGCAATGAATCTTTATATAGATGAAGTTCTTCCATGAAGCTTCCTGCATTACACTCCCTCCGTTCCCAAATACTTGTCTTTCTAGGCATTTCAACTGGACACAACATACGGATGCATGTAGACATATTTTAGACTGTAGATTCATTCATTTTGCTCCGTATGTAGTCACTTGTTGAAATTTCTAGAAAGACAAATATTTGGGAACGGATGGAGTATTAATTACCAGCTTGCCAGGATGCTATGTTATAAATACCCAACATTCACAATTTCTTCTATGCTGTCTATATCCTTTAAAAATCCTTTCCTTCTGTAAGGCCTCCTTTGGTTTGTAGGAATGTCATAGGATTTCTATAGGATAGGATTTGCATAGGAAAATTTCCTTTGAGACCCTTTGGTTTGTAGGAATGGATTCCTATTCCTATATAGGATAGGAATCAATCCTTCACATTTTGGAGGAAAAAAAACATTAGCTAAGACTCAATGGAAAAATTCCTATCCTATGCATCAAATGACATCTCTTTCTCTATAGGAATTGAGATGCATGTCATCTCACTTCCTATGATTTTCCTATTCCTACAACATTTCTATCCTATGAACCAAAGGAAGCCTAATTAACCACGAAATCCTATTAATGCTAATTTTCTGTGTGTTCTAGAACACCAATTGTTTGATTCTGTAATACTCCCTCTGTAAACTAATATAAGAGTGTTTAGATCACTACTTTAGTATTCTAAACGCTCTTATATTAGTTTACGGAGGGAGTAACTAATAAAGTAAATATGCAGCATATATCCTGAAAAAATGCTGACACGAGAAGATAAGTGATATATTGTGTAGTCAATTCTTTTTTCAGAATGTGTACATAATTCATACTAGGGTTGACACACTAGTTCAGATATAAGATTGCATGTCAGAAGCATCTTCCTCACCAATCTGTTATTCTTTGCTAGTTGATAAAAAAATCTGTATGTTCCTAAGCATATGACTGGTGAGTTCTTTGTTGTCTAAACGCATACACTAAATAACAAATGAATAAGTGACTATTGCTATGTCTTTGAGATCCACAACTTCAAATATAACTGGACTTTGTAGCTCTTTCTAACCTTTTCCTCAAAATCCACAACAGCGGTTTGACTCATTTATGGACGCCTTAAGAGATACAGCAGAGGAAAGGTAACATTTTATGTTTGTACTTGCTTTCCACATTGGCTGGATTATCAAAGTGCTTACTCTCTTTTTCAGTGGCTTGTTATTTAAGAAGCTTGATAAAAGACTTGAGCGATCAATGCTGCATTCCTACCGCAAGGTATGTTCTTGCTATCTTCTATCTTGATGGCAGCACCACAGCGTCTGGAAAACCAGCGAGAACCGACTTTCTCGAACTGGGCTTAACAGGTTTTTAGTTGTCGCTGGTTTAGGCCCTAAACGTTCCCCTTTGATCCCCAGTTCAGCTGGAATGAGTGTATTACCAATTCATCACTTATTTGATATGCCCCATAACACTAATTGTTTCTTGTGTGTTCGAATTCTAAACTTAGCAAACCGCCCAAATAACCTGAACCATTCTGGTAGCACTTCTCAAAACCCTGTGTCTCACAGGATGATCTCTGTTTCCAAGAAAATATGGTATTTTCCATGGTTAAAAAAAGTTGTTTCTTGTGTTTTTAAACATCAAAATAGTGCAAGTACGGAATAGCAGAACGCAAGTCAAAATCACCATGATAATATAAATTTACCAAGATTGTTAGACTAGTAGGCGCTCTTATAGATTCGTAGGGTCTGAAGACGTTAATGTTCAATATGGCATAATGTGCTGAATAAATAATTCATACATGCTAAGTTTCTTTATGGCTGAATTCTAGTGCTAATTATCTGACACCTTAATTTCGTGTATGAATTGAAGGATTTGATAGCACAAGTTTCTTCAGAGACTGATCCAGTTTCCTTCCTCCCAAAAGTCGTTGCTCTACTTTTTCTCCAGGTTTGCTTGATTGTATCTTTCCTGAAATAAAACTCTTCTTTTCGCTCTGTATTTATAGGCTGACCGGAGAAACATCCTGTTTGAATATTTTGTAGGCACACAACAAGGGTCTTCAGGCACCTGGAAGAGCTGTTGGTGCTGTCATCACATTACTGAAGGTAATTGTTGATTTGCATTCTCTTTGAGATACACTTAGTATAGTTCAAGTAGAATATGTTAACTTATAGCAACAGGATCCTGATCACAGAATCTTTGATACTATTTGTCTGATATACTGGTTTGTAATTGTGTCATTAAGCTGTCAGAAGAATCACCTTTCCACCTTTTTCTTATCCTGTCCTTTATTACAATAAACCCCTTGATTTTGCAATCCCCCCGGAACAACGGCTATTGAATCTGTTTGTATTGTGTGTCCTTGGCTTAGCTTTGTTTTACTTGGACAAGTGAAACCAGTAATTAGTATAGAGGGGTTTGCTTCCTTGCATCACAAGACTCCTAACGTAGGCAGAGGGAGTCCTCGGTTGTCACTGTTGGACGTATTTCTGCTCATATTGCACAAAGGGAAAAGTATATTTTTCGTCTCAACTTTTTCTAAAGTATAGAAATGGTCCCTCAACTCTAAAACCAGCAAATCTTAGTCCCTCAACTTTCAAAACCGGATAAGCTTACTCCCTCGTGCCGCTTTGGGTGGTTTCCTGTCGTCATGGAGTGATTTTTGACTCAAGCTGACAAGTATGGGCCCGCACCTACCCATTTTTGTCCACTTTAATTCTTGCTCTCTGTCTCCCTCACATGTGGGCCCTACATGTAAGAGCATCTTCAACCTCTGAACGACCGAGAGGAATCAGTGATAAATTTACGTGCATATGTGAGCTAGCAGTCTGCTTTGCTTTTGCTGCGTATATGCATCGACCTGCAACGTATCTACTATGAACGGACCACATCAAGCCAGCGCTGCAAGTCCACTCTCGCCGGAAAGTCGCGTTGCCGCCATCCAGCAGGCTGGCACCTGGACAGTTTCGCCATCGGCAAAGTCAGGCAGGCATATGTCGCAGCTGGCACGGACGGAAGCGCGGTGCTGCTGCTCTGCTTGTGCACCCACGAGGCGGCGGGGAGTGTGATGAAACTAAGCTTTGCTGGTTTTGAAGTTGTGGGACTATTTCTATACCTTTGAAAAGAGTCGAGGGACGAAAG